ACTGTAGTACCTCTGAGTCTGGAGAAGAAGATTTTTGAAATATTGGATAATTTTCCCTTTGGGGCCCCGCCCTGGCCCCAGGGGTTGGGGTAGGAATCCCAATTTTACAATTTTGAAGCCTCATCTACCAAGGATGATTCTGACCAAGTTTGAAAAAAATCCATCCACTGGTTCTTGAGAAGAAGTTGAAAATGTAAAAGTTTACGCACGACGCACGACACAAGACGGACCACGGACGACGGACGACGACGGACGAAAAGCGATTGGAATAGGTCACTTGAGCAAAGCTCAGGTGACCTAAAAATAAAATGAACTGAACCATACTATCCTTGATCCAGCTTGATTTGTGAAATATATAACCAAAAAGAATAATTCTACAATTACGCATCACTTAAATGAAAAGATTACTTATAACATTAAACAGATGTTATTTTAAATCTACCACTGTGTTACAACCTCCTGGGATAAGTAATATACCGGATCAGCAGAACTTAGAGTATATCAGTCAGTTAGTTTAATGTTGTTATACACTACATGTACTAACTTTCACAATCTCTATAATCATTAAAAGGATTATAATATACAGTTAATTTATATAAAATCTAGATATCAACTCTCTCCCTCGCTCTATCCCTTCCTCACTCTCTCTCTCCCTCGCTCTATCCCTTCCTCACTCTCTCCCTCCCTCGCTCTATCCCTTCCTCACTCTCTCCCTCCCTCGCTCTATCCCTTCCTCACTCTCTCCCTCCCTCGCTCTATCCCTTCCTCACTCTCTCCCTCCCTCGCTCTATCCCTTCCTCACTCTCTCCCTCCCTCGCTCTATCCCTTCCTCACTCTCTCCCTCCCTCGCTCTATCCCTTCCTCACTCTCTCCCTCCCTCGCTCTATCCCTTCCTCACTCTCTCCCTCCCTCGCTCTATCCCTTCCTCACTCTCTCCCTCCCTCGCTCTATCCCTTCCTCACTCTCTCCCTCCCTCGCTCTATCCCTTCCTCACTCTCTCCCTCCCTCGCTCTATCCCTTCCTCACTCTCTCCCTCGCTCTATCCCTTCCTCACTCTCTCCCTCGCTCCATCCCTTCCTCACTCTCTCCCTTGCTCCATCTCTTCCTCACTCTATCCCTTCCTCACTCTCTCCCTCGCTCTATCCCTTCCTCACTCTCTCCCTCGCTCTATGCCTTCCTCACTCTCTTCCTCGCTCTTTCCCTTCCTCACTCTCTCCCTTGCTCTATCCCTTCCTCACTCTCTCCCTCGCTCTATCCCTTCCTCACTCTCTCCCTCACTCTATCCTTTCCTTACCATCACTCCAACAATTTCCCTCACCCACTCTGATCCTCCCTCAGTCCCCTGATAAATCTCTCCTTTTTTCTACTTACTTTCTCGCTTTTTTTATCCATAATTTTTGCATCATAATTTAATGTCAACATACTTTTGTTTCTTCAAACATATCTGTATACAGCAAAATGTTCTCTTTATAAAAAAATAATTTTAATATAATTAAGGAAGGAAATGATGTTAGAATATTCAGAACTGAATTTGTTTTTTGATTTTCTTATTCCACTAATAATTCTGTCACCTTTTGCAGCAGTGTATTACTCATCCAGTGTTATAGACAGGGCCTTTATACTATCCAGACTCTGTTGAATTTTACTTGCTCTGTTCTCCCTGGTACACTTTTCGCTGCCCTGCGATGACAACTGGTCGGACAATTCTGTACACATACGATAGATTTCCGAATTGTAAGTAACCTGAAAAACATGAATCTAAATTAACAGAAATTCTCCAGACATTTAAAAGTGTTTAAAAGCAAATAATAAACAACCAGTACTTTAAGAAGAGAGGTATATGTCCCATATACATGTGTTGTTGCTTGCTATCTTAACATGTGTACAAGTTACATTTTGTGTATGGATCCAGATTCACAGAAAAACTTCCCGAGAACACAACTTATGAAAAACTGCTGCATAAAACAAAATCAGAAAATCTAGTCTCTGGTTGTTAGAACACAAATGTAATCACAAACTATGAGGGAATGGTCATCAAAATTTGAATTTGACGACGCGCTATGATTGGTCTCGGATAACTCTAACGTTCTGGCGGAAAAACTTGGACAAGTTCCAACTTAAATGCATTCATGTGTAATGGTTCCTGCTATCATTAGTTTAAAACAACATTTTTAGTTGGTAGGTTTATCAGTTGGTGTACAAAGGTAATATAAACATTAACAATCAGTGTTCAATCTATTCATTTGTAAGGAATGAATGTGTTACTCATTGACCAAACCTATCTTTGATTGTGGGAAAAACAACACTGTACCAGCCATTGGATGACAATATCACAATAAAATCACAGTTATAGATGACAAAGTACCAAAGTCACTGATGACAAAGTACCTGGGATTTGATGAGTGCTTCCAAACTTGGCTGAAAATAATCCACTCTGCCATCTATCATTTTAGGCAGGTCCTCGGTCAGAGCGCTGTTCTGTGTCTCAAACTCGTCCTTGGCACTCTGTAGGGACTTTCTACTCTGTAAAGTAAATATCAATCTGTAACATTAATCCAACTTCTCACATTCATTAAAATACTTAATTAAAAAATATTGACACAGTCTTGTATGCATGTGAAAAAATAAGTATTGGATAATTTCCTGTTGAATTAAGAAACTAAGATTATATATGAGTGTATATAGAACCCAGAGACCTTAATGATGCGTTCATAATCAGCAATAGTTGTTTTCATACATAATGAGTGTTACATTAATACAACTGTAAAACAACTTTTACTGAGTTTGGGAATTATGGAGTTAAATTTCTACTCTACTTTGTATAAATGATTAATCTAACAGTAATGTTGTACAAGGTAGCATATTGCCTTAACTCTAATACAAATCACAGGTGTAATATGTAAGGTAGCAGATAACCTTAACTCTAATACAAATCACAAGTGTAATATGTAAGGTAGCAGATAACCTTAACTCTAATACATATCACAGGTGTAATATGTAAAGTGGCACATAACCTTAACTCTCATATATATCACAGGTGTAATATGTAAAGTGGCAGATAACCTTAACTCTAATACAAATCACAAGTGTAATATGTAAGGTAGCATATAACCTTATAACTTTAATACAAATTACAGTTATTAAATGTGTTGGATAGCATATTTAGCGTTACTGAAGTAACTAGAAGTTTGTGTAGGATAGCATATTTAGCCTTACTGAAGTAACTAGTAGTGTGTATAGGATAGCATAGTTAGCCTTACTGAAGTAACTAGAAGTGCGTGTAGGATAGCATATTTAGCCTTACTGATCATGTAGGATAGCATATTTATCCTTACTGAAGTAACTAGAAGTGTGTGTAGGATAGCATAGTTAGCCTTACAGAAGTAACTAGAAGTTCATGTAGGTTAGCATATTTAGCCTTACTGAAGTAACTAGAAGTTTGTGTAGGATAGCATATTTAGCCTTACTGAAGTAACTAGAAGTTCATGTAGGATAATAGCATATTTAGCATTACTGAAGTAACTAGAAGTGTGTGTAGGATAGAATATTTAGCCTTACTGAAGTAACTAGAAGTTTGTGTAGGATAGCATATTTAGCATTACTGAAGTAACTAGAAGTTCATGTAAGATAGCATATTTAGCCTTACTGAAGTAACTAGAAGTGTGTGTAGGATAGCATATTTAGCCTTACTGAAGTAACTAGAAGTTTGTGTAGGATAGCATATTTAGCCTTACTGAAGTAACTAGAAGTTCATGTAAGATAGCATATTTAGCCTTACTGAAGTAACTAGAAGTTCATGTAGGAAAGCATATTTAGCCTTACTGAAGTAACTAGAAGTGTGTGTAGGATAGCATATTTAGCGTTACTGAAGTAACTAGAAGTTCATGTAAGATAGCATATTTAGCCTTACTGAAGTAACTAGAAGTGTGTGTAGGATAGCATATTTAGCCTTACTGAAGTAACTAGAAGTTTGTGTAGGATAGCATATTTAGCCTTACTGAAGTAACTAGAAGTTCATGTAAGATAGCATATTTAGCCTTACTGAAGTAACTAGAAGTTCATGTAGGAAAGCATATTTAGCCTTACTGAAGTAACTAGAAGTGTGTGTAGGATAGCATATTTAGCGTTACTGAAGTAACTAGAAGTTCATGTAAGATAGCATATTTAGCCTTACTGAAGTAACTAGAAGTGTGTGTAGGATAGCATATTTAGCCTTACTGAAGTAACTAGAAGTTTGTGTAGGATAGCATATTTAGCCTTACTGAAGTAACTAGAAGTTCATGTAAGATAGCATATTTAGCCTTACTGAAGTAACTAGAAGTTCATGTAGGAAAGCATATTTAGCCTTACTGAAGTAACTAGAAGTGTGTGTAGGATAGCATATTTAGCGTTACTGAAGTAACTAGAAGTTTAGTTTCATTTCAGCTAATTAAACCCTGACATAAAGAACAACCAGCATTCCATATACTACAGTAGGATAAGGAAATTAAAGGACATTACTCCAGAAAACTGGTATCAAAGAACAGCTATAACCAATCTAATATAAGCAATTTAAGTATAAGCTTAGCCAAAGTTTGATTAGAAAAAGGCCAAAGATCATTGTAAATATCTAATCCAACAGAAGCAGTATTAGACTAAACCTAAGGTAGAATAGTAAAACACAAAGTATTAATGACACTGTTTCTTATTGTTGTATCTGTTGCTTGGAGAAACATTGTACCAGTAACAATGAATCGGAAAACGAAAACTTCCACAGAAAGACATTAACGAGATTCAAGTGCTTAAGAATATAACATGCATGGATGCACCAGAATTACAATATACACACTATTTCGTGATCCAAATCTTCGTCGATGTTACTTCCTAATAGGTGTATACTCTCCAATTCTATGGTTGACAATTTCAAGATAAAGGATTTTTTATTTTCAGAACATGGAAATGATAAACCTGAACACTACATACTATTTATATGTAACTGCAAAGAAAACGAAGGTTCTTAGCTGTATCCTGTGGATCTAAGTGAATTAATATATCTAACTGAGGATTTATAGATAACTATAAATGGCTATAATTCACTTTATTGCATACCTGATTAGGGATTTCACTGAAACTGTTTGAAGTAAGAGTAGCTTAAAAAGTTTGTAAGCAGAAAAACTTAGATTAATTTTAGGGAAAATGTGCATCAATTTCCTTAAATGGAAAAGTAGGAGGGAGGTACATTCCCCTTTTTATACGCTCGTCAAATTTGACGAAAGTATTATGGTATGGGGTTGTCCGGCATAAACTTTTGTTTGTCCGGCAATCTCCTCCTACATTTTTTGATCGATCTCTTTGAAACTTAGTATACATCATAATCATGATATGAAGTTGTGTCTCCCTTAAAAGAATTTTGATTCAACAATTTTTCCAAAAGTAATTGCCCTTTGTTCATTTCAGTAATTGATTTTTTGTCCAGAGAACTCCTCATACATTTTTCAACGGATCTCTTTGTAACTTGGTATACATTATAATCATGATATGAAGTTGTGTCTCCCTTAAAAGAATTTTGATTCGATGATATTTGCAAAAGTGATTGCCCTTTGTTCATTTCAGTATTTGATTTTTTGTCCGGAGATTTTCTTCTACTTTTTTTATAGCATGTCAGCTAACCACTCTTAAAAATGATGCAGATCTTATTTCAATGTAAGAAAGTATATAACACTATATGGCATTCGACGGGCATATATTGTTCCACTCCGCGGTACTCTTGTTCCTCAAATGCACTGTCCTAGATCTAGCATAACTGATACATGTATTAGTGTTATGATTAATAACTACTAATACTTTGGTAGTAATCCTGAAGCCAGATGCCAAAGGGGCTAGTAGATTAGGCAAGTTGTTAGGATATTAAATTCTATTCAAAAGAAAAAAATAGCTGTAATTTAATGTCTGTTAACTAATAACTGTTCATTAGGAAAAGATACCAAAAATATGTAAAGCATACAAATATCCCACGTCCATAAGTTTTTAAGGCAATGAAACTATAAAAAAAAATCTTACCAAAGTCAGGGCTGTGGTAGTCAGATCGACCATAAGATGGAAATGGTAAACACTTCATGCCCCTCCATTATGTTGTGGGGGACACAGAAATACTAGTGTAGATATATGTTTACCACTGATTTTTTTTGGTTATTTTTTCCTTTTTCGTTCCTATTTGGAAACTTATTTCAATTAAGGGAGAACAATATCTCCCTTTGCATTGAGAAAATGATTGAGTAATTGATCCAGATATAAAAATGTATTCTAATAAAGAACAAATGAACAAATTCCTCAAAGGTATTCTATTAGAGAGCAGCTGAATGAATTCCCCAGAGATCTTCTATTAGAGAATTTCTGAATGATTTGCATAAAAATCTTGTCAGAGAATGATTAAATAAATGACACAGGTTTCCATGATAACAGCACTAAAAGATAAGTGACGTACAGAGAGAGATAGTGATTGTTCTTCTATTGTTTATATGACTTAACCGACATCTGACTTTAAGGATATCATTGTATTACCCACATGGATGTCAGTAGAAAGTGCCACTGCTGTCGCTTCAATATAGAAGCCATGTATATAAATATCCTAGAAATATAACTTACAAGTGGAATATGAATTTCCAATTTTGGAATAAAGAGATTATAATTTCTTATCAAGAAAGAAAAAAAAGGTCCACATTTCTTTTTCTTTTTTTTTCTTTTCCAGAATACTGTACATGAATTTCATCACAATATGCAATGAAATATAACCATTTCTTTTGCAGAATTTTTAACACATTATTATCAGAAATTACATATAATTTTTCTATATATAAAACTTTACAGATGATTAATTACTACACATAAAACATGGGAGGTATAAATTTTAGCGCTGAGACTTTGTAATATATTTTTGTTAACATGGTCACTTCAAGAAAAACAACAGAAAATTCATTCTGAATGTATAAAAATACAGTTTGCTGTTAGTAAATATCTGTAACAATGAGAAAATGTGAAAACTGGAACCACAGAAAGGTTAAAATCAAGCAGACAGAAATTAACTGGAATTAGAGATAAAAACTTGGAAAATTTAGATGATGGTGGTCATGATGCCAAACATATACAAAACAGAATCATCAGAATTTTACATGCCCCAGATCTAATAAAAATATGAATGCAAAAACTGAGACTGTGATCAGTTCTATATACAAACACTGCAGATTCTTCATAACAATTTATATATATGTAACAGGAGAAATAGAAAATGTAACGGTCAGACTAAGGTTCGAACCCAGGACCCTCTGTACTTTAGAAGGACACTCTACCAATTGAGCTACCTGTTCGCCGATGATCGACCCAGTCTAGTTCCGCTACATTCCTCATTCTTTTTTCTAAGTCTTTGCCCCTGAAGACACAACTATTTACAACCCAAGTTCGGGTATCCTCTTACTAAGCGTACTCCCAATGCTTGAAACAAGGGTTGGCAAGCTCGCCTATTTTGTAACAGGAGAAATGTAATGGCAAGACCAGGGTTCGAACCCAGACCCTCCGAACTCTAGACAGACGGTCTACCAATTGAGCTACCCGGTCGCCGATGATCGACCAAGTCCAATTCCGCTACATGTATATTTATACAAGAAAATTGGGCTGGTATTTTCTGAGAGCTCCATCATTTTGATATCGAAACACCATCAAATCAAAATTATAACAGTGTAGCTGTAGGCAGTGTTTCTATCATACAAGAAATCAAATCACAGCTCAAGTTTTCAATACATATGAAAGCACGCAAAACGTAAAGCATTCAACTTAACAATGAAAATGAAACAATCCTGTCTACCTTGTTGAGAACCTGAAAGAATAAAATCTCTGCGTCAGTTAAAGTCCTGACATGCATTCTTGGGTTGTCTCCCCTTGTTAGGCATGTTTATTGTACATCCGTGCCACAGCTTCAGCATAAATTGAAAATCTAGCACATAAATATATAGATATCAGAAAACACTAAATGAAGAAAATGTTATATCTATCAAAATGTTAAATGATTAAAATGATTAAAAAGTTGTGTGGGTGACAACTGGAACTAGATATAAATATACAATTATAAATATGAAAATTAAAATGATGAGCATTAATGATTTAGAAAAGTAAAGAGACCTATTTCTAAAGCATCACAATCACAAACTGATATAAGTCACACAAGGAAACAAATTAAAAGTAAGCTAATGAATAACAAGATTGTGAAAAAGCTACAAACCGATTCCATTTTAATGACATTTTGTCCGGTCCTATCACGACCTTGGTATTTTTCTACCTTGGATTGACATTTGTTGTACTCCTGAAATGAATTAAACAAGACAATAACCAAATCACCTGTCACACATGTTATACGTAGAGGTTATCAAAGGACTGTTTATATATCTCGCCTGAACTACCTATATCAGGCCCAAGGCCTGCAAGCTGATTTAGGTTGAGGGCCAATCTGGGGATATCTTATGAAAACAGTTATATAATATTATTATCACAGATACATTTATGTTGTTTTATATTCATCATTTACAAAAACACCTTGAAAGGATGAACACTGAGTTTCTCAACTTGTGTTGTTTTTCATACTTTAAATGAACAGTCCAGAATCCTCAACATGGACTTGTACAAACGGTGATTTAATTCCTTTTCATTTCCATTTTCTATTATACTCTTTAACTCCATAATTCTGTATGCTTATAATTCCAGTACACTTTTTCTGTCAATCTTTCCCTCAGACAACCAAATCAAGCATTTCAAATTTCAAAGGGAACCCACACTAAGCATACATTCAGCTAGCACAAAACCAGCAGGGCCCGTATTCATGAAACCGATCTCATGCTCAAACCCACATTCTGTGCTCAAGTCCAATTTCTTAAGCTAGTGATAAATTAATAAAATGATCATATTTTATCAAAGATATGTAGGAAATTTTGAGAGACTTTAAGCCGAATACTGTTTTTAATGTTTAAAATTGACTTTTGAATGCGTTAGGCAATTTACGAGAGCTACAAGATAGTCCGCTTGAGCATGAGGACAAATTCGTGAATACAGTCTGAAGATAGCAATGTCACTGGATCAGGGCCAATATTGATAGGTTATTACAAGGGCAGGTAACATCAACAGTTGGAACATCATTTATCACATAGACAGTTTTATCATAAACGTTAATATGAACCTATTTTAAAAGTTATACATGTGTTACACAGGTTAAACTTAGAGATTATTACATGACTGTTTTTATATCAGAGCCCAGACTGCCCTGAGCTACCTAGATCAGGCCCAATGAAAGAAGGCGTGATAAAGGTTGATTATCATATATACCTGTGTACCCAAACCGACATTGTGTTGATGTATATATACCTGTGTACCTAATCAGACATTGTGTTGGTGTATATATACCTGTGTACCTATACTGACATTGTGTTGATGTATATACCTGTGTACCTATACTGACATTGTGTTGGTGTATATATACCTGTGTACCTAATCAGACATTGTGTTGGTGTATATATACCTGTGTACCTATACTGACATTGTGTTGGTGTATATATACCTGTGTACCTATACTGACATTGTGTTGATGTATATATACCTGTGTACCTATACTGACACTGTGTTGGTGTATGTATACCTGTGTACCTATACTGACACTGTGTTGGTGTATGTATACCTGTAGACTTTGTTCCCTTTTCTTCACTGCAGTTTGTATGCTGGGAAATATACTATTAAATCTGCAACAAAGACATTATTTATAAACAAAATAAAACAAATTTTATCATGAAGTCAACATATCAAATGCCAAAAAGAGGATGATATTTTTTTCAGTATAAAATAGATAGTACACAGATTATCATGTACCAATAATGGAACGATCTGATGTATCTTTTTGATTCACAATACTTGATTAAGTTTCTGTACAGACAGATACAATGGTAGATATGTAGCACACCCATCAGTCTATTACAATGTATTGCGTTTGGACACACCAACCTTTTTACCGGTAAATATGACAGAAACCATTTTAAGCTTGTAATAAAAATTCATGATTTGTGTGCAGTATATGTGGACTAGTAGTAAGTAACCTGTACAAAAACTGTGCATTTTATAATATCAAAGAAATCCTGTGTTTATATAAATGTTGTACGACTATCATTATCCTGGGTGATCGGCTAGTAGATAATTTGATTGTAAGGGAGGTAACTAAAATAGCCAGAGTACTGACTTTTTCATCGGCTCCAAAACAGCTCTCTGCACGGTTGTATTCTGAAATAGAGGTCAATGTATAAACGATTATCAAAATCAGATGTGCATGTAAAGAAACCATAATTGCCTTAAAAGGATACTTATTAAAATCACTGAGATCAGTATTTAAATACAGTTTAGAAATTATGCGTATTAAGATTTCTGGAATTTATCAACATTGTACAACATACACATGCCATAGCAGGTATCTGAGTCTAGTATTTGAAGATTTTGATAAAAACATATCATTTGTTTGTATATTGCATCATAATGTATCATACTTTTAACTCAGGAAATTTCAAAGTTCTTTCTGGGAACTTATCAAGAAAACCTACAAAAATCTCGGATACCTTTTCCTGAATGCAATGCAACATTCAGAATTACCCAATAGGACTGTATCACTCATCAGCTGGCATGTCTATTTCATAAAAAGTATTTTTGTTGATTTTGGAATACCTTGCATAAAAAAACCCATTTCATTCAGAGTAGTAACAGCTGCAAATAATACAAGTGAAAGCCAAAATGTACATGTGTCTGAGGTATTGCAATTATTTTTCAATTCCTAGTAGTCAAACCCGGTATCTGGTTTACTTGTCTTACACTCTACCAAATAGGCTGAAGAGAAAATTCCCCCAAGCTGATTTGATAGTAAGTGACTAGTATTTTACCGGGGTAATTTACAGTAAAAAAGTGCATAAAATATAGTAATGTGTGCATGTATACAGAATGTACCCCACATGAAATATATTACAAAAACATTTTACATAAAAGATATTGTATACACTGTATATGAATTCCACAGAAGTGGATGTGTCTCATCCCTCTACATATAGCGTGGCACATATCAAGTACATTATAAAATATACTACACTAAATCAGAGTTTAGTTTAAATCAAAATGGCTATTCATGAGAAGTAGATCAATGGATATAAATTTCTGTACGGTCAGACAGACATACCAATTCCTTCATGTAGAGTTCCTGTTTGTCCAGAGAGCGATCCCAGTCTGTAATCTGGGCACCCAACTGAGGCTCCATCTGACATAGCTGGCTGGACAGGAGATTCTGCGTTATCTTGTGTTCACTGGCAATCACACCTACACACATAACATTAGTGAGTTGTGAACACTCCCAAATTTGACTATTACTTATATTAGAGTATGGCACAATATTGAATATATTTCAAAATGCATTTAGTGTGTGTATATATTTTTTCACTCATTATTCAAATGAATTCCCTGCATAATTATTTGGTGTTCTTTAAGTTAGATATAACAGTTAGTTAGTTTTCAAATTGTAACAGACACTTGGTAAACCTCATACAATTTGAAGATTAACTAACTAAAGTCAGATACACATTATAACCAACCACCATCCATTGGGGAACCTCTATATAACTAGGAACCTTTGATTACCGGGTATGAGATGGCTGTGAAAACATGCAGTAACACAAAATATCAAATCTATGAAATTATTCAAACCAGGAAGTGTTACACTTTTAAATTTCAGTACTTCATTTCTTCCATTGTGAAGCATCAGTTGATTTACCCCTTCATCTGTAGCTTGTGTCGTATACACTGAGCATTATACATTACTTCTCACCTTGGTTGGATTCCACCCATCTCTTTGTGTCTTTATATAGCTTCCTACTTGTTTCTTCTAGTCTGAAAAAATATATACTCTATTAGATATAGAATATATAAAGACATATCTATAAGGAGGCACGGTCGTGTAGTGGTAGGACGCTGGGCTCGTGACCGAAGGGTTGCAGGTTTGAGTCACGGCACGACACTGTGTTGTATCTTTGAACAAGATATTTTACTCTGCTTGTTCCAGTCTACTAAGCTGTAAATGAGTATGTGATTGGGCAGTGCTGGAATTGTTGAATGCTAGCTGTGAGCACCGAAATGGCAGCACCGGCTGTATGCTCCCCTGGGAGTTCAGAAAGATATTGGCTGGTTGCAAAGGCCCTGTATCCACGGATAATAATTTGTGAACCGCTTTGAGACGACCTATGAACTAGGTTGTGATAAATCGGTATATAAGAACCTCAAATTAGTATTATTATTAGTATTATAAAAGGAATGAATTACAAAAATATAGGTATACATGCATGTTTCCTTTCGTGAAGCTTCAATCTGAGCAAACCAAGAGTTTATGTAAAAATTATTTCCTGTGATTGCTCAAAGTGAAATTGGACACTTAATTGGTTTTAACACCAAAAGAGCTAAACTTCATTCTCTAAGAGTCAATTACATAGCACATTTCTTTTAGCAGTCTGTTATGAAGGGTACTTTTTTCTTACACTCATCAACAGTTATGTTTAGTCAAAAATGACTATCTTGTTTCAATTCTGTTTTGGCAGAGACAGACAATCTGCATCCAATCCTAAAAATAATCTAAAAGAAAATTGTCAGTTAATTTGAAAAAGTTACCTACATAGTAAAAGTTACCTACATAGTATTTTTCTTTTAAAAGGCAAGCCATAGCACCTTTTTTTTAGTAAGTTACTTTAAAGTGTACTTTTTTCTCCGTAATATTTATTTTCACAGAATCAGTTACCTTTCAACTTTTTTGACCTCTTTCTCTAATTCTCTCTCAGCCTACAATTGAAAAAAAGCATGATTAAAAAAATCTGATTTCTGTCTACAAGGTTTGATCTCCCTGAAATATTTTTTCTAATTTTCTAGGGATTTTTATGATTTCATTCAAATACTATATTAAGAAAATAATTTTCTGAAATTTTGTAGAATTTTTTAAGATCGAACAGAGATCCTCTTACTTAGCTTGGAAAGCCTCAAGATTTTGTCACTAAGTGGCGCCATGGGAAAGATTGTCTCATTCCATCAGCCAGTGGATCAGTTTATTTAAAAAGCAGAGATGAGGTAAAAAAAACAAAGTGGATTGGTGTTTAAGGTGGCTCCACACTTTCGCAATTAACAAGCAAAATTTGTTGAAACTTTCATATAATGGTTATGCAACTACGTAGATTGATTTTGTGAAAATCTAAACATTCCGATAGTTTGGGGACTTTTTTGGAAAAAATACCAAAAAATTGAATTTTCGTCAATTTTAATATTTTCCGGGTTTTTTTGGTGTGTGGCATTGTTCGGAACAATAACAACAATAATAAAATGAAAAGAATCATTTCTAATTAACCCTACAAATATTTTATTTATCGCAAAATAGGTAACACATGTTACACAAAGTGTTTTTTTATTGAATTTGTACGGATAGAAATGATTATCTACAAGCTAAAAGTAAACAGGACACAACAATCTATACATATAGAGTGGGAAATTGAACAAAAATATACACAATGGCTTTATAATTAATTGATTTTACATTTTACAATCACTTCGATCGGGGTGAGAGTTATCTTCCTTGAAAAAAAATCGGAACTTTTTGCAGGGGGGTGACATTTACACAATGACAGTTGACTCTGTTTACATATAACAAAAATGATGGAAATAAATCAAAAATATGTTATCAAAATTATCAATTTATTGTTCTTTAATGGAACCAAATTACCCTCAGTCATGTATACACTTTGGACATCATTCCACAGTCCGCTAACTCACGGTATATTTATAATTACTCGAGCTTATGAACACGTGTAAGCACGCGATATACACATGTGAGGTCGGTACGTTCGCATTCCATGCGTTTCCTATATGACCTTCTTGAGGTCGTTTGGTCTCATGTCACTGTCTTCCCGTGAGTCTGTTTATGTCTATGAATTGGAAAGCTTTATTCCTGAAGTACGTATGATTATACATTTCCCTGTAAAATCTCGATATCGGGTGTTGACATATCATCGGCACGCACGTGTACTATTGTTTACCAGGGGCCTGTTCGTTTATGCGGAGCAACCGGTTTGACCGTTTATAAATGTAACAATTTTGAGTATAAATCCTGGCGGACCTGCAAATGTGTATGCAGGCCTTGCAAGGCTTTCTCAAGGCTCGCCTGAAAGCAGCATCAGATTACTAGGTCCCACCTTATTTAATAAACGAACAACAGTGGTCCGATCAGTTTGACCGTTTAAACGAAAACGGCCCAGGTGTTACTATAATTTGCACTACGATATTGAATGCACGATACGCAATACGGAAATGACGACACGGTGTATATGCACATTTCGATCAAGATAATTGAGTCCGAGCTGTACTTTTTCCGGAAGTACGTCATGAAAATGGACGCTGATGACGATGTGTGGAGCCACCTTAAAAGAGAGTCGGAAAATGATAAATATTTCTTTGATTGATACAAATGAAAGTATGTCCATTATGCAAATTGATTGGATTATCATACACCAATCATCTTTACTAAAAGTATCAAAACATCTCATTTGTTGGTATCAAAACAGGGGTGTACTGAAACATGTGCAAACCCGAGCAGTTTAAAAGAAAAAACAGTCATACGCCGCAGTCAGTTGTGTCATATGAATCAACTTATTTCCTGGTAGTTACTTAGTTGTGAGATGTGTGAAGTAAATGTAAATTTTTCAAATATATGAGTTTCGAAGGTTAACAAAAAATTACTTAATCATACAATAACATTCACAGTTAATACCTAAAATAACCTTATAACTTTAATTTTCCTATATAGAGAAGCTGTTATTTGAATGTTATAATTTTCCTATATAGAGAAGCTGTTATTTGAATGTTATAATTTTCCTATATATAGAGAAGCTGTTCTTTGAATGTTATAATTTCCTATATAGAGAAGCTGTTATTTGAATGTTATAATTTTCCTATACAGAGAAGCTGTTATTTGAATGTTATACTTTTCCTATATATAGAGAAGCTGTTCTTTGAATGTTATAATTTTCGTATATAGAGAAGCTGTTATTTGCATGTTATAATTTTCCTATATAGAGAAGCTGTTATTTGAATGTTATAATTGTCCTATATATAGAAGCTGTTATTTGAATGTTATAATTTTCCTATATAGAGGAGCTGTTATTTGAATGTTATAATTTTCCTATATAGAGAAGCTGTTATTTGAATGTTATAATTTTCCTATATAGAGAAGCTGTTCTTTGAATGTTATAATTTTCCTATATATAGAGAAGATGTTATTTGAATGTTATAATTTTCCTATATAGAGAAGCTGTTTTTTGAATGTTATAGTTTTCCTATATAGAGAAGCTGTTCTTTGAATGTTATAATTTTCCTATATAGAGAAGCTGTTATTTGAATGTTATAATCTTCCTATATAGAGAAGCTATTATTTGAATGTTATAATTTTCCTATATAGAGAAGCTGTTATTTGAATGTTATAATTTTCCTATATAGAGAAGCTGTTATTTGAATGTTATAATTTTCCTATATAGAGAAGCTGTTATTTGAATGTTATAATTTTCCTATATAGAGAAGCTGTTATTTGAATGTTATAATTTTCCTATATAGAGAAGCTGTTATTTGAATGTTATAATTTTCCTATATAGAGAAGCTGTTATTTGAATGTTATAATTTTCCTATATAGAGAAGCTGTTATTTGAATGTTATAATTTTCCTATATAGAGAAGCTGTTATTTGAATGTTATAATTTTCCTATATAGAGAAGCTGTTATTTGAATGTTATAATTTTCCTATATAGAGAAGCTGTTATTTGAATGTTATAATTTTCCTATATAGAGAAGCTGTTATTTGAATGTTATAATTTTCCTATATAGAGAAGCTGTTATTTGAATGTTATAATTTTCCTATATAGAGAAGCTGTTATTTGAATGTTATAATTTTCCTATATAGAGAAGCTGTTATTTGAATGTTATAATTTTCCTATATAGAGAAGCTGTTATTTGAATGTTATAATTTTCCTATATAGAGAAGCTGTTATTTGAATGTTATAATTTTCCTATATAGAGAAGCTGTTATTTGAATGTTATAATTTTCCTATATAGAGAAGCTGTTATTTGAATGTTATAATTTTCCTATATAGAGAAGCTGTTATTTGAATGTTATAATTTTCCTATATAGAGAAGCTGTTATTTGAATGTTATAATTTTCCTATATAGAGAAGCTGTTATTTGAATGTTATAATTTTCCTATATAGAGAAGCTGTTATTTGAATGTTATAATTTTCCTATATAGAGAAGCTGTTATTTGAATGTTATAATTTTCCTATATAGAGAAGCTGTTATTTGAATGTTATAATTTTCCTATATAGAGAAGCTGTTATTTGAATGTTATAATTTTCCTATATAGAGAAGCTGTTATTTGAATGTTATAATTTTCCTATATAGAGAAGCTGTTATTTGAATGTTATAATTTTCCTATATAGAGAAGCTGTTATTTGAATGTTATAATTTTCCTATATAGAGAAGCTGTTATTTGAATGTTATAATTTTCCTATATAGAGAAGCTGTTATTTGAATGTTATAATTTTCCTATATAGAGAAGCTGTTATTTGAATGTTATAATTTTCCTATATAGAGAAGCTGTTATTTGAATGTTATAATTTTCCTATATAGAGAAGCTGTTATTTGAATGTTATAATTTTCCTATATAGAGAAGCTGTTATTTGAATGTTATAATTTTCCTATATAGAGAAGCTGTTATTTGAATGTTATAATTTTCCTATATAGAGAAGCTGTTATTTGAATGTTATAATTTTCCTATATAGAGAAGCTGTTATTTGAATGTTATAATTTTCCTATATAGAGAAGCTGTTATTTGAATGTTATAATTTTCCTATATAGAGAAGCTGTTATTTGAATGTTATAATTTTCCTATATAGAGAAGCTGTTATTTGAATGTTATAATTTTCCTATATAGAGAAGCTGTTATTTGAATGTTATAATTTTCCTATATAGAGAAGCTGTTATTTGAATGTTATAATTTTCCTATATAGAGAAGCTGTTATTTGAATGTTATAATTTTCCTATATAGAGAAGCTGTTATTTGAATGTTATAATTTTCCTATATAGAGAAGCTGTTATTTGAATGTTATAATTTTCCTATATAGAGAAGCTGTTATTTGAATGTTATAATTTTCCTATATAGAGAAGCTGTTATTTGAATGTTATAATTTTCCTATATAGAGAAGCTGTTATTTGAATGTTATAATTTTCCTATATAGAGAAGCTGTTATTTGAATGTTATAATTTTCCTATATAGAGAAGCTGTTATTTGAATGTTATAATTTTCCTATATAGAGAAGCTGTTATTTGAATGTTATAATTTTCCTATATAGAGAAGCTGTTATTTGAATGTTATAATTTTCCTATATAGAGAAGCTGTTATTTGAATGTTATAATAACATATTATGCATAAATACTTGCCAACTTTTTGAAATTTCCATGGGGGAGATTACGCATGTCCAGAATTAAAACATAAATAAAACGTGAGCTTTTCAGATGAAACTGCAGATCTTAGAAACTAGGAATCGTTTAGTGAATTCACTGGTTGGGTTGAAAGTGCTCATTTTAGGGTCAAAATTGGGAGTGTCCCTCCTAAATTAAAGAGAGAGTTGGCAAGTATACAAAACTGTTTTCAACTTTAAAACCACCAACATTAGACCTCTCCTGGGTGTTTTTTTTTAAGGTATCTTTTGTTGAAATTTATCAACAATTATATTTTAGAAATGAAAAATTTGTCCTGGTCTGGATCTGGTGTACAAGATTTAATGGGGACCAGGGATTTGTTACCACATTGAAATCACAATGTGTGTGCAGAAGATACATACAGTCCTTGATACCACATTCTTCTTTGGTGCAGTATGCCGGCTAAATGGATTCCTGAAGAGAGAAAAAAGAGTTAAATAATGAAAAACTTTCTTGTATAATCGTAAAAACAAAAGCACCACGAGCGGGAGCATGATATGTCTGTCAGACCCTCAGAAGGGGGTTGATACATTGGAAGCAGGTAGTGACATATGATATAAATGTGTTTACTGCCACCATTTTGTTGATGACTGTGACCTTGCCATTTATATACTGTTTATGGCGCAAGCTATTTTGTGTTTCACACTTACACTTTCGTAGTCAATGTTGCTATTACTAAAACTATAACCTTGGCTTTGAGGTAGGAGTCTTGGTATGAGAAGTTGGAGCACAACAACAAAACCTGTTCTATATGTTAAACATGTTTGGTTTTTGTATTACCATACTAAAATTGAAAGGAATTGAACAATTGAATAAAAACATCTTGCATTTCTACAGAATGCCCATATTTGGCAATGAAAAGGGGCATAACTCTGCCAAATAGCGTTTAAATGTCACGATTTAAGAACTCATTCAAAGCATTCAGGTAATGAAACAACCAAGTAGTTTAATAAAAATCAAAGAACAATTGTTTGAGTTTTCGTGTAAACAAGCAAAAGTTAATGGCAAAAATGAAAAAACAATGTTGCTATGTCATTTGCATCTTGCATTAACTACACAATGCCCTTATTTTGAAATAAAAGGGGCGTAACTCAAACAAAAATGCACATAAATTTCTGAAATACGAACTTGTCTAAGCTATTTTGGTATGCATTATATATGTGTACCAAGTTTCATCAAGATATGTTCATGAATGAAGGCAAGAGAGCAATGAGAAGGAAAAACAATTAACAGACGGACGAACAACGCAACCAATACCAATATGTGACCTGTCGGACGACAGGTGTATAAAAATATACTTTTTGTATCCTAAGGGTTTTCTTTCAAATGTGGGATTTCAGAGACATAAAAAGCACTTTTTCACACCAATAATATACAATGGTATCCCACTATCATGAAAACACAGTTGAGTGTATTCTATAAATAGATTCATGTACCTGAGAGTCACATGACTGTGACCCACCTATGGATTACAATTTACAGGCAACGGAACTACATCAGTTTTGTTCGTGAAATATACCCCCAAAAATGACACAGGAATTCAAGATTTGTGACCGCTTATGTACATTATCGTACATGTACTAAATGTGCTAATAAACATCTAGAAATATTTCTTTTGCGACAATAGCTACAATGCCGCTTTCATGTATTCGTTTCCGACTATCCCTGTACACAGGAATAGTTCCTTTCAAACGACTGAACGAGGAATTACAAATGTTTCACCCCAAAACCGTTACGCCCCAGACCATTTTGCCCCATTTTTTTCCACATCGCACCCAATTTTCAGTTCATTTTGCCACAAATATGACAACCATATCGCCCCAAAAATTATTTTAGCCCTAAAATCCGTTTCAGCCCTAAAGCTATATTGCCCCAAAATTCTTTATCGCCCCAATCGCTACGAACCTATATTGAACAATATCTGATCTTGTGAAAGTGGCTGTAGTTATTGCCAGTTTCACTTCAATATATTATTAATGATTAGGAACACGTAACCTCAAGACTCAAATTGGTAGGGTGTTTTTTTTAACATTTATATTTGTTTTAATGTTCATGTAGTTTTTATCTTAAACATTAATTGTTTTGATGAGTGATCAGTTTGGATGTTGATAAAAGAGATTGTCAGCTCAATTCGTGAAAAGTAAAAGATATGTCGAATGATATGCCAATTGAGTTTCTGCCCTTCATATTACACAATAGGCATTTTTGCCTGGGCTTCATCAGTTGAGAAGAAAAAATACTGTTCTTACCCTAAACATATTGAGATATCAGCATGAATGTTAGCTATTTCAAATTTTTCAAGATGAGGAACGAAAATGATAATGTTGGTTTGAAATGTAGAATCACTGACTTAGATTAGATGCTATTTAAGTCCATGGAAGAATGTAACTTGGCAGAACACGTAATAGATTGATTTTTTATAGTTATATTTATATTTTATTTTTTTAGCTAATGAAAAAAAATATACTTTTGCTGAAAAAGAAGCAGATCTATTACATACACAATATAGATACAAATACGTATACACACATAACATCTTATTGTAGTTTTTTGTTTTCAATCTATGGCACACGTGTAAATAATCAAATTATTTTATACATATATATTTAATCTACAATAAACAAATCCTGCCTAACATAGATACTATAGATATGTTATGATATAGATCTAGTTACGTTACGGCACAAAAAGTATGTCCCATACATCAAACGACTTGCAACAGATATTGTTTTTTGAATGTCTAACTTTAAGAATATTACATAAAAGGTAGATATTTTACTTTAAATTTTTCAATTTGTCGTAAATTCTGTGGAGGAATTTTTTGGGGCGTTAGTTTTTTTGGGGGGGAATAGTTGGGGCTATATGAATCAAATTTGGTGCGTAACAGCTTGGGGCGTTGCGGTTTTGGGGCGTAACAGCTTGGGGCGTTGCGGTTTACGGGCGTAACAGCTTGGGGTGTGTGGTTTTGGGGCGTAACAGCTTGGGACGTTGCAGTTTTGGGGCGAATCGTCTGACACCCCTGAACAAGGGGCAGTCCTTCAGGAAGATTCTGTTTCATTAACCATGATCAGGTAAAGTGGGACACTTAGTAAGAGTGTAGCTCTCGGGCGCCAAAGGCAATCAAGCTAAGCTCTTTAATGGTAACACATGCATGCATATACAGAGTTGCTTCCCCTTTCTACACATAGCCTTTATGTTTTTTTCCTCCGAAAGTAGACATCCAGTGGGGAAACAGGAAGTGTATCCTTGAATCAAAGACAATTGTTTATCAACCCATACATGAATATCTTCATAGAGTAAACACAATCTTCGTGTTTTATTACTTCTTTATTTAGATAAAAAATAATATACATTCTGAGTGAAAAATGTTTATCACATAAAATGTGATACTAACAGGCATGAAACTTCGTTCAGAGATTATCATACTATGACGTCACAAGAATGTCACAATCCATTGACCTTCATCGGATATTTCCGGAAGGATGAAAAATAACCGGAACTGATGTCCATTGCATTTATCTCTTTGTCTGTGCTTCAAGACCTTTTTTTATTTCAGTTATTTCCAAAGGCACAAAAAGTAAAAATGCAGATATTTTCTGAAGATCTTTTTTGTCATCAACCCGGTTCTCTTGATATTTCTACCGGGAGATATCTTCAAACAAGAGGCCCAATGGGCCTGCATCGCTCAGCTGGTATAAAACTCACACTTGTAACCTTAAAAGTGATCTAAAATAAAGCTACAGGTAAAATATCAGTATTTGTGATTAAAATTCGTTTAAAAGACCCTGTTATTTTTTTTTAAAACATTTCACCCCTGTGATTGAAAGTCGAACAAAGTCATTATGTTGAACACATTGTATAGCATTTCATCTCAGGATGCAACTTGCAAAGTATAAACATCCTGGGACCCATGGTTATTCATAAGAGGTTGTTTAAAGATTTTAAACATATTTGCTCCTTGTGACCTTGAATATGATTCAAGGTCATACATTTAAACAAACTTGGTAGCCCTTGATCCTAGTATGCTACTGACTAAATATCATCACCCAGGGCATTTTGGTTATTCAGAAGAAGTTGTTTAAAGTTTTTAACATATTTGACCCCTGTGACCTTGAATATGGGTGAAGGTCCTTCATTTGAACAAACTTTGTAGCCCTTCATCTCAGCTAGCTACTGACCAAATATCATCACCCTGGGCATTTTGGTTATTCGGAAGAAGTTGTTTAAAGTTTCTAACATATTTGACCCCTGTGACCTTGAATATGGGTGAAGGTCCTTCATTTGAACAAACTTTGTAGCCCTTCATCTCAGCTAGCTACTGACCAAATATCATCACCCTGGGCATTTTGGTTATTTGAAAGAAGTTGTTTAAAGTTTTTAACATATTTGACCCCTGTGACCTTGAAAATAGATGAAGGTCATTCATTTGAACAAACTTTGTAGCCCTTCATCTCAGCATGCTACTGGCCAAATATCATTACCCTGTGCATTTTGGTTATTCAGAAAAAGTTATTTAAAGGTTTTTTAAGACAATTGACCCCTGTGACCTTGAATATAATTGAAGGTCATTCATTTAAACAAACTTTGTAGCTCTTCATCTCAGCATGCTACTGGCCAAATATCATTACCCTGGGCATTTTAGTTATTCAGAAGAAGTTATTTAAAGGTTTTTTTAAGACAATTGACCCCTGCGACCTTGAATATAATTGAAGGTCATTCATTTGAACAAACTTGGTAGCCCTTCACCCTAGCAAGGTGAGCTAACAAGAGATCATTTAAAATTTCATCAGTTTTTGAATTCCATTTGTTGAGAATATGAACGAAATAATTGACATTTGTGAAAGTCTGGATATAGTCTTTACATTATTTATGCATCGCCACTCATAAAAGAAGCAATGGAAAATGCATTTATGAAGAAAATATCAATAATTTCCAGACAACCAACCCAAGTGCAACGCCCTTTTTCAGCAATGTATTACTTTTTCACAACGCATGCCGATTTATAACAAGTTACAGACAGAAACTGTAATTTTTTTTGGTATCATCATTACCTGTCAAACCTCGGTGACAGTTACAAAATTTAAAATCTGATACGGTGTTTCAGGATGGAACAGTAATTGAGATAACATATCCATATCAAGAAAATTTCAGTTATATCAAAGTATAACTATGTTTTCTTTTCTTAATTTAATTTTTTAACTAACATCTCTATACATTTACTTAGACTAATCGTCAAATATTTAATATGCCCTTTTTTCTATAGTAATTACCCCCAAGCTTATCTCACATTCTTTTTGTGCCCTGACGGAAGCACACAGAGGGTTTAATTCTTAATATGGGAGGAAGCTGGAGTATCCGGTGAAAACCTGTGTGGTCGGGCAGGTGACCGAGATTGAATCCGGAAAATTGCGTCATTGATGCAAATATTACATTGTGAACACATTTTTACCAATCATCAATGATATCAAAAATCTACATACGGGAGACTGAGGCAAGTTCGCCCATCCCTGATATTTTTTGTTTTTGAGCTAGGGGAAATCCGTGTAAATATGGACGGGCGGGCAAATACGGACAGTTCTTATATGAATCATACATTATCCATTACATATGATTAAATCAAACTCCGTTCATGCTAGACTTCGATTGGTCTACTGGTATGGATGTTTGTCTTCGTTGACGATCAGTACTCGGAATATATCACAAAGTCTAAAAATAGCAATGGCGTGTATATATAATAATATTCGTCGTCATGCCAGCACTTTGTGACGCGTCCGAAAATTTATTTCCGGAAACGATTACCCGAAAAATAAGCAACATTTCGAGACAACAGTAACGTTACAATTATGTTCACAAGAAACAAACACATATACTTTATATTGTGCTCTTAATGTTGTTACTTGTATATTTTTCCATTGCAGTAGTGTATCAATATAAATATTTGAGGAAGACTGTTGTGTCTGAGGCGTCCGTAAAATCCCCCAAAAGTTTTAGTAGGCGGGTAAATACGAACAGTTCTTAATTGATCAATTAATAGTTATGTGGTCCTTACAAAAGGCTACATTTACCATAGCTGAGATGACACATCCGCCTTATTTCTCTTGCTATGCTTCAAACCTATATTAGATGACATTTCATAAAAAATATGATTATAAATAAGAGAAAATATGATAATAAAATGAAATAGTAATCAACAGAAATATTAGACAGCATCTTATTTCATTTCGTTACGTTTTGGTTCTTTACCCTTTGAACTGTGTCAGTCGGAAAAGTCCATGACAGGGGCGGTAAGTTATAATTACAAACTGATCGATTTGTTGTATGCCAAAAGGATGTAGAAACCCCTGGCGAAACATTGTGTCCAGTTTGTATGGTTTTATTGGATGAGTGCATGATTAGAGTAGCGTGTCCGTAGTTACCCGACACGTGTCCATTGACGACCGATTCCTCTATTTTCCGTGTTTTGGTTTATTTTTTAGTGTTCATTTTACCGGCCAGTCAAAAGCATCACTAAAAATAGCAACAAAAAGGGACCTTCTTTCTAACTTAACACTCAAATGTTAAATGACTTAATAGCAGAAAATTACGTTTGAGAGGGTAGAAAGAAAATCATGATCTTGCTTCTAGTTATGCAAACTTTTTGAAACGGAATTGCTACTTTTTTACCTGTAGTCAAACGTGTAAGACACTGATAGCTTCAAATGATAATACATAAATGCTAAGCCAATCACTCACTACCATATTGCTGTACGATAAAAAATTATTGAAATATCAGTTTTGGCCCGGACAGTTTCTGCCAATGACACTGTGGCAAGTTCGGCCCTAGCTGCAATAACGTAGCTTTCTAATGACTAGAGATTTTTTTTTATATTTTGCATCGTCAGAGCTACAAAGCGGTCCTATGCCACCTAATGGAGCAAAATCAAAAGTGTAAATCTGTAAGATTGCATATAATTCACGCCTCATATGAGTATAATGTTATCAAAATATTGCATAATTGTTGAAAAAACGAATCCTTACCCATGCAAAAACTCTTTAACGAAATTAACAAAGTCTGTCTTGGGGAAAAAATAGAAACGACCGCCATGACAGCTCACGTGTGATGTTATTTCAATTATCCTTTCTATATATGGCCTGCATGGCCAAATATAGTCAGTGGCGGATCCAGAGGGTTTTTTTGGGCTTCAGGAAAAAAAAACAGCCTGGGAATTTTCTAAAAAAACATTTATTCACCATTTTCCTCAATTTTAGCCCACATGGAAACCCCCCCTGGAAATTTGTAAAAAACCCAGATAGGTCTCTGGTTCCGCCACTGATAGTATTACTACTGATGCCGCCATGTTTACTACAATTTCCACATTGGGTCATGACACCCATATTTGGACGTCTGACCTATATCGGAAGGGATACAAACTTTCCAACATGGCGGTCAATTCAGATTTCGATTCCGCTTGCTACTTTAACTTGATAATTTAACGACATTTTCGGCAGAGTTTAACTTCAAGTTGTGCAGGATATCAACAGAAATAGTTCATACTAAACCTTATTTATGGATGCGGACCAATGTGTTGTTAATTTATTCTAAAATCGCCCCGTGTGATTCACACCGGGCTTGCTCCATTACAAGGCATGGGATCGATTATATCGATATTGATATCAACAGAAATAGTTCATACTACAACCTTATTTATGGATGTGGACCAATGTGTTGTTAATTTATTCTAAAATCGCCCCGGTGTGATTCACACCGGGCTTGCTCCATTACAAGGCATGGGATCGATTTAATACCTGTCCGGGTATTAATATAAGTTCAGCCCATATAACACATAAAATGTCGTAAAATTGGCTGTAAAATCTGACGTTGCATGTTTTATGACGTCATAATTAAGCTGATTCCAATGGGGGCACAACTTACCCGATTGCCTGTCCGAACTAACCCCATGGCGGGTCTCGTTTGGCCATCCAATCTTCTAGTCCGAATTATTCTGACGTTTTATCGACTTTTTTCATATCGGTCTGTCGTCGATTAACGTCAGAACTCCGGCCCTCTATAATATGCGGGAAATATGCGACCCGCGCCCGGAGCGCACTTCAAACTGATATTTTATAAACAAATCGTCACTTTCACACAAATGTCGCACATGGATTGAACGATCTATTCTTTATGCACAAGATGAACATACATTATATGCCTCAAACAACCAATACAATCACTAAAAACATATTTTTTCAAACTTACTCTGTTTTACTCTAGTTTTTTAATAGCCCCGCCTTCTAATGCCACGTGACTTAAATCTCGCCGGCTTACGTCATAGCGTTGGGAAATACCTTCTGTAACGCGAGATCTCGTCAAGACATGTGACATTTCTCATGGCCTAATTAATTTCCATAAAAAACATGGGTTGGTAAAGAAAACGTTGGAAAATGCTTTCGTAATGGTCTTTGAAACATCTTTTTGATACCACCTAGTGCACAAAGAATAGATCTTTCGATCCATGTGCGATATGTGTGTGAAAGTGACGATTTGTTTCTTAAATATCAGTTTGTAGTGCGCTCCGTGCGCGGGTCGCATATTTCCCGCATATTATAGAGGGCCGGAGTTTTGACGTTAATCGAAGACAGACCGATATGAAAAAAGTCGATAAAACGTCAGAATAATTCGGACTACCAATCTTCCGACAGAATATATAGATAAATAATGTTCAAAAACGGACGTGCTGCCATACTTCCTAGAACGGACAAAAAAGGGCCGAACTTGCCCCGGTCTCCCTATAGTTATGTCGGCCTTAATCTCATTAGAGCTTATGTTTTATTGTTACTCCTCGAATAGCCGACTTTAAATAAAGTTTATCTTATCTCAGTCTGAAAGTTGTTCTTAATCAGTAAATATCAGAGATCAACAAAAGCTACGCTCTATTAAGGCTTTGTCTTTTCATATTATCATATGAATGCTTTTTGAAACAGAGAATAGAAATGCGTGTACAATTTGATAAATGGATTGTTTAAATACATACCAACTCATCATGGATAAGTGTTAACTTCATGACTTGACGTGAAACAGGACATCAACAATATTTTGTGACAGAATCAACGTTGAAACAGTATTTGGAAATACGTGTCTTCTGCAAACATCCAACTGATTCAGAATGGTTCGTTCGATTAGGTATACATAGCCGAGTGCGTTCTATCACGGAACTATTGTATATTGAGAGAGCCTTATACCGATGTCCGCACATAAACTAAACTTATGAGGTTGACCCAGGAAGACATTTGATGGAACGTGATCAAATAATTTGTAACAAGTGCTCGACTCGAGAGGTTAAATCTGTCTCTCAAGACAACAACAAAACATTATGATCGAATATCGTGCTTTTGAAGGCTAATTACTTAATGAGAGAAATAACTTATTTCATGTTGTTAGATTTCTATTTCACAACGTTACTGTTTAAACATTTTAATGATCTCTAAAAAAATGATAAATTCTTTTAAAATGATAAGTTATAAAACATGCCAGTTCTGAACAAACTAATTTAAAAGATTTTTTTATTGTTTGGTCGATTTTATAGCATTGTTAATTATAGCACGGAATTAGATTATCTAAGTCCGTGATTATAGTTATATACGGCACTTTAGTTTATTTTCTGACACAGGGTCCCTATTATCCTCTGCACAGGTTTTCAAATAAAACCTACATACATACATGTAGACACACATACATACACAGTTCATTTTTGGACATTACATTTTTGGACATAACACTTTTGACATGACATTTTTGGACATTACATTTTTGACATTACATTTTTGGACGTTACATTTTTAAACTAGTATGTTAGCTCTGTAAATATCAGTTTTTGATAAATCCAGTGTTTATCAACTCTATTTTAAAATGTAGTCCTACCTTTGTATTTATGTCTGTTTACAATATCATCTTACATACCCTACTGTTTTATGTGTGACCAGTAATTAGTTACAGTGCTGCTATATATGAGATACACGGACATTTAGTTGTATTGTGACTTTTTAAAATCGCGCATGTAGATTTTATCTAGGCCTTAGTTGGTCGTTATGCGCGTAACGTTAACGTTTGTTTGTTTGTTTGTTTGTTTGATTTTGTTTAACGTCCTATTAACAGCTAAGGTCATTTAAGCACGGCCTCCCCTGTGTGCAAGATGCATGCGTGTAGTGTATGTGTGTGTATTTTGGGAGGCTGCGATATGTTCGTGTGTGTCTCCTTGTGATAGCGCGGAACTGATGCCGACTTTCTAGTGCTACCTCACTGAGACATACTGCCGAAGACACCCAGCAGGAAGCCCCACCCGGTCACATTATCCTGACAACGGGCGAACCAGTCGTCCCACTCCTAATTTGCTGAGCGTTAAGCAGGAGTAGAAACTACCATTTTTAAAGACTTTGGTATGTCTCGGCCAGGGGACAGAACCCAAAGCCTTCCTCACAGGGGCGAACACTCAACAAATGGCCAAAAGTGAGGCATTGTCAAGGGAGACATTAGGAAGAAGAAAGTTATTTAGAAAGGAGAGAAGAGATAAGGTCCCAAATTTAGTCGCCTCTTACGATCATGCAATTGGGGGCAGCAGGTACAATTCTTACGCCCTACCTGCAGGGACAAACGTTAACGTAACTGTTAGCGGGGACATGGGTTGGACTCCAGTAATAGTGAACCAATGGCAAGCTGTTTTTAGACATTGGAGTCGTCTACATAATCTGTCGGATAGTAGATTGAATAAGGCTGTATTTACATGGAGTGGGCGTATAGGTAACCACCGAAATAAAAATTGGAACTTCAGGGTAATGTCCAGACTCCGGGAGCTAGGCTTGGATAACTATAGCACAGGTCCAATTCATAGTAAAAAAATAATAATTAAGGACGTTAAGGTCCGTGGCTTGGAATTGTTTATTGAAAATTGGAAAGGGGAACTTACTCGTCCCGGAGCCAAAAACTGTATTTCTGGAGGTAACAAACTACGGACGTACAGATTATTTCAGTTTAATTATGAGGTAGAAAATTATAATATGCTAGTAATGCCTAAATCACATCGTAGTGCTCTAGCTAAGTTTAGGTGTGGGGTTGCAACGATACGCACCGAAACAGGCCGGTATGAGAGAATACCTTTGAGTGAAAGATAGTGTTTCGCGTGTAAAAGCGTGGTAGAAACAGAGAGTCACGTTTTAATAGAATGTTTTAATTGTATGATGATCTCCGATCTATTGCAGGAGGCCAGTAAAATCACAAGTGATTTTTACAATATGAGTAAAGATGAAAAGTTAGTTGTAATTCTAAGCAACCCTTACTTGGCGAGGTCCTGTGCCAAAACCTGTTTTAATATTCTTAATCGACGTCACAACTTGCTCTTATAATTAAGCAGTAATGTGCCTTTTAATGTCAATTATTTTTATATTTTTATATTGGCAAAGCTTTATTGATTATGTGTATGTGGGCTCTATACAAGGTGTCCTCTATGCTTACATTGGTATAGGCCTATTTGACCATGTGTGTATGGACTCTATATATCGCACACGGTATTCATCCAGTTATTTATCTACATCTGGGGACATTTGTTTGGCCCTGGGATGGGGGATGGGCGACATGTCGGTAGGAATGGCCCAACCACTCTCGCTCATCTCACATCCTAGGCCCAAATCATTACACGTCTTAAGCGCTTTTGCCGTTGTATAAATCCAATAATGTTAAAATGCTACTGATAGCTTTTAATTTATAATTATGTACATATTTGTAATACTTTTACAGTCTAGAATGATAGGGGAAGAGTGAGTGTCTCGTAAGTTTTATATAGAAGATTGGATGCAAGGGTGGGTGAGCAGACATATGTGATACTGTTACAGTCTAGAATGATAGGGGAAGAGTGAGTGTCTCGTAAGTTTTATATAGAAGATTGGATGCAAGGGGGGGGGAGCAGACATATGTAATACTGTTACAGTCTAGAGTGATAGGGGAAGAGTGAGTGTCTCGTAAGTCTTATATAGTAGACTGGATGTAAAGGTGGGGGAGCAGACATATGTAATACTGTTACAGTCTAGAGTGATAGGGGAAGAGTGAGTGTCTCGTAAGTCTTATATAGAAGATTGGATGCAAGGGTGGGTGAGCAGACATATTTAGAGATAGTTATACTTGTACCTTAAACATAAGAAACTAAAATAAACTAATTTGAATCAATCCCTGCAGTGTTATATCTGTAATACCTAAATGCTATCTTTATTTTCCTTCATGACGTGGGACATGATTACCGTATAACTAATATAAAGAGTTTTGTCATTTGATCTATAAACGGGGATACATGCAACTTTTTATGGATTGGAGACTAATTTCACTTTCAAATGTTTATAAAAAATAGAAATACTTAATTAATCAGTAAAACATACCGCCCCCTCCCAACCAACATAACCCTCTTGAAACAGCTAAATTTTGAAAAGGCTAATTATATATTTTATTAAAGAATTGAAAATAAATATTTCTTTTCACAATTTTTTAATAAATGTGTAAACTTATCTTTGCCTTTTAATATAACGAAAGTCACAAGCCAGACACTTTCATAGTACAGAAAAGTCAAGAATCCTGTTTTGATTATGGGGTTCAACACTCTTTGTATAATGGGGTTCAACACTCTTTGTATCAAGGGGTTCAACACTCTTTATCATGGGTTCAACTCTCTTAATCATTGGTTCAACTCTATTTATCATAGGTTCAACACTCTTTATCATAGAGTTCAGCACTCTTGATCATGGGTTCAACACTCTTAATCATAGGTTCAACACTCTTTATCATGGGTTCAACTCTCTTAATCATAGGTTCAACACTCTTTATCATAGGTTCAACACTCTTTATCATGTGTTCAACTCTCTTAAAAATGGGTTCAATTATCTAAATCATGGATTCAACATTCTTTATCATAGGGTTCAACACTCTTAAGAATGGGTTCAGCACTCCTTATCATGGGGTTCAAACCTCTTAATCATGGGTTCAACCCTCTTTATGATGGGGTTTAACACTCTTTATCAAAGGGTTCAACAATCTTTGTCATGGGTTCAACACTCTTTATCATAGGTTCAACACTCTTTATCATGGGTTCAGCTCTCTTAATCATAGGTTCAACACTCTTTATCATTTGGTTCAACACTCTTTATCATTGGATCAACTATCTTTATCATGGGTTCAACTCTCTTTATCATGAATTCAACACTCTTTATCATGGGTTCAACTCTCTTTATCATGGATTCAACACTATTTATCATGGGTTTAACACTCTTTATCATTTGGTTCAACATTTTTTATCATGGGTTCAACACACTTTATCATTGAGTTCAACACTCTTTATCATGGGGTTCAACATTCTTAATCATGGGTTCAACACTCTTTATCATGGGGATTAATACTCTTTATCATGGATTTAACACTCTTAATCATAGGTTCAACACTCTTTATCATAGGTTCAACTGTCTTAATCATAGGTTCAACATTCTTTATCATAGCGTTCAACACTCTTTATCATTGGGTTCAGCAATCTTTATCATGAAGTTCAACACCCTTTACCATGTGTTTAACACTCTTTATCATGGGTTCAACATTCTTTGTCATGGGGATTAACACTATTTATCATAGGTTCAACATTTTTTATCATGGATTCAACATTCTTTATCAAGGGGTTCAACACACATTTTATCATTGGGTTCAACACTCTTTATCATAGAGTTCAACACTCTTTATCAAAGAGTTCAACACTCTTTATCATAGAGTTCAACACTCTTTATCATAGAGTTCAGCACTCTTTATCATAGAGTTCAGCACTCTTTATCATAGAGTTCAACACTCTTTATCATAGGTTCAACTCTCTTAATCATAGGTTTAACATTCTTTATCATAGCGTTCAACACTCTTTATCATTGGGTTCAGCAATCTTTATCATGAAGTTCAACACCCTTTACCATGTGTTTAACACTCTTTATCATAG